TACATTTTAGGTATACAATATAATGACATTCATCATTGGAAATTTGCACCTTTACATAATCTCTCTTGGTTATTTTTTTATCTGCTATATTTTAAACTTTTCTTCACAATACCAATTTTAAAAATTTTAAGTCAGGGATTTAGCTCAGTGGTTATGCTGCCTGCCTCACAGGGGACCTGCAAGGTCCTGAGTTTGATCCCCGGTACGCCCCCCCCCAAAAGGCATAAAATTTTAAATTATCAATTGGCACTCTTTGTACACGAATGAACACATTTTCACACTGAACAAAGTAGTTGAGAGATAAGAAATTTACTTTAAAAAGTATAGAAATGTAAAGAATCAGAGTCATTGTTATGAAAGCTTGATATAATAAGACCTTTGAAGGTCATCAAAACATAAACCACTTAGGTAAAATGGCATTATGTATATATATGACATGATCCAAGGACACAAGTCAGCCTTCGCAAACATGAGTATTTCCTTATGAATTAAAAATTAGAAACTATGTAGCCCAATAACAGTTTCAAACCTACTTGAAAAGCAAAATATAAATTATACCTAATGAAAATTTGCTTTGAAAATATACTTTAGATTATTTTGCCCATTTTTACAACTCTTAATTATATTTTTATAATCCTTATTAGAATCTTGAAAATTGGACTCTTGAAAATGTGTTATTACTTTAAGATATCTAATATCCAATAACTGCTGGTATAATTTTTTAAGTGTTAAAATAGGGCAGACTAAACTTAAATTAACAATGTGAATGTATACTGTACACTTGCCTAAACAATACTTTAATGTAAGCTGAATATATTTACTTTTAGTCTTGAATTGTGTATTTATAAAATTTAACTGCACTTAGTAGTAAGAAATAGGATCTAGGGCTGGGGATTTAGCTCAGTGGTTTCGCCACCTACTGCGCAAGCGCAAGGACCCGAGTTTGATTCCCAGTACCAAAAAAAAAAAAAAGAAATAGGATCTAAGTCTGAATGTTGCTGGAGTCTTAAAAACACCAGGTTCAAAATGAGGTAAAGTTATTAAACAAAATATTCTAAAAGGTGGTCAATGAAAATCTGAGCTCTGGCATCCAGAAAATTTGCTTGGTACCATTTTGTTACCATGAGCAAATTGATTTTAAATATTTTGTAATCTTAGGCAATTTTAAACCCTGGATGAAGCTGATTAGACCTACAATCTGTGGACTATGTTTGCATTATCAAGGTAATAAAGACAGTCCAAATTAGCCAACAGTTTCCACAGTTTGTAACAACAGCATTTTTCAATCAAATTTGATTTAACAAAATCCATTAGAACTATAAAAAATTTGTATTTTTACAGTTTTTCTATTAGAAGATTTAAAAAATATATACAGTATAAATGAAAAACATAAAACACTTTTCTCAACAGGTAATTCTATATAGTTCATAATTAAATGAAACCTATATCCCAATTATAGAAAGCATATTTACCCACTAACTCATCTTATTACTTTTAATATATTCTCTCTCCTCTGAACCAACTCATTAAAGAACTCATGTAATTTGCATTCTCAACTCCAGTGTTGAAAAAGAAAAAAAAAAATCTACTATTTTAAAGCAAAATGGTGGTTCTTTCCCAGTGGCTCTATGGGGACATGGGGAATTCAAAAAATTCAACCACTTGTCCCAATCACAAGGTCACAGTATCCCTGAGGACAGGAGGCTTATGAGCGATCTGAAAAGCTGTTTTTAATCAGACTTAAATTTACAGTGCTATTTAAAGTGATGTGTTGATAGGATATGTCTATAAGAAAAGTCATTTTGCTCTTGCTCCACTTTTTTTTTGACAAGTTTTTTTTTTAGATGCCCCACCTATTTTAAATTACTAAATGAGTATTTAATTAAATTACATTTTTAAACTTTAATGGCAATTAACATATACAAACTTAAAAGTAATATTAAGGATTTATCTGATTTATAGAAAAGAAATGCAATTAAGAGATTAAAGGCAATGCTATCATTGTAAAAGTCACTATTTACTATCTAGCACAGGAACAACTGGACTGTTTTTAGCTGTTGCAAATCACTGAAAGTTCTTAGGATACATGTGGGGAAATACTGTCTCTCTACACTAATTTTAAATATGATTTTTATTCTCTGACAAACCAGACCCAGAATATTATTTTATCAAATTTTACATAATTCAACAAATATTTAACATGCCTTGGTTGAATAATCTTTTGTATAAGTGTAAGAGTCTCAGATATGTGAAAATGTTTTTCAAATCATATTTCTATTTTTTCACAGCTTATAGGTATTTATAATTTTCAAATTTTTAATATTCCATGTGATTTGATGTATTTTTATAGAAAGAGTAAGATAAAAACATTTAAGAAGAGTAAATATACCTAATTTGCAAAAATTGGTATCTGACATCTGTGAGCTCTTACAAAGAGTGCATAGAACATATCTGTAGCAGTCAAAAAGAAATACTCTTTTTAAACTTAGACTTCAAGTTTTCTCCAATATTTCTTCTAATTCTATTTCCTGGAAATTCCTTCAAGTTTTGAATTCTAAATGTAATTAATGCGTTTTGTTACATATACAGTACACGCTTTATTCTTAAGCGGGTATATATTTCAAACCTTTGAACAATATGATCAGATTCAAGATGATGGTATCTTCAGAAAATCTGTAGACATCCTCTGTGGAAGATTAATGTTGAGATTCCTAGTGCACCATCATGAAAAACCAGTGAAAGACAGTACATGACTATGCTTTAGAAGGATTTCCTGCAGGCTTGGGATCATAACCATATAAGAAAGTAGTTATTATTATAAGGATGGCTCCAAGGAAAAAGATACTGGTTGGCACAAAGACCTGAGGCCAAAAATAGGATATCAGTGTTGATAATATTATGGGAAAAGGGTTGCAAATCCTTTAAAAATATTATCCACATACTTAATCACAGTATCAATAAGGCCTCCAAGTGCCAAGCTGAATGTTTCTTATCTATACTGATTTGTTTCTTTTAAGATTTTCTCAAAATAAACTCCAGCAAAGCCACTTGAAAAACAGGCTGTGAGAACTGCTATGAGGCCCACTAATTGAGTCAGCTGAGAATTTTTAGAATCAAACTCTTGGGAATCTGAGAGCCACTGTACACAAGCAACCCCTGTCATCAAAATTACTAGGGAGAGCCACTGGTACACAACTAACATTTTACTAAGCATAGACAGAGAAAATTATGCTGTTGTTAGAATTTTCAACTGAATGTGTCCTTATAGGTAGCTGCATAGATTTGACAGTGCTACATAGAGTAAATTATTCTGAAGAGTATATATCCTTGAAGAAATAGAAAGCTTAAATGTTTCCATAGGCTTATTAAAAATTTCATCACGTGGTACTTAATTCAGTGCTCTTAGACTACATTTACTGTTTTTGTAGATTAATAAAAGGCAGGCCCAACAACCACTGCTATAGAAGATAGATAATGAGGTTCCTCTGCCTTTGAAGGCCTTAGAATAATGCATAGTTAGCACCAAACTGGTAGTCTGAAAGACCAAAATTCCCAAAGAAAGGGATTTTAGGTCGGCAGACATTGTTTTATCTTCATTAGCCTCCCTTGCGACTCAGTGGGCTGCCTGCATCAGCCCGGGTCTGCGGCTGTTGCTGGTGCCACCTTGGTGCAGCCCAGGCATTTCCGGGTTTCCATAGTCCCATCTGGCTCTATCTTTTATTAGCTTGGGTGATCTTAAATATGTTACTTAACCTTCACTAAATCTCAGTTTCTTCATCATAATAATGTATCGAATTGACAGAGTTCTTGTAACAAATGTGATAGCATGTTTGTGAACAGCCTTTAGAGTAATATCTGACCTATAACGAACAGCACAGAGGAGTAATAATGATAATAATAAGCATTGGAGTGTTTCAGCTTGGAGAGATTCCTACTTTAGGCACAAATATAATGTTTATTATGCTCCACATCATTGATGTGAATAGGAAGGCAAAGGTCAAAAATCACTGAAGTACCTTTTTCTGAGGAGTTTTTTTTCCATAAATTTGGAAAGTAAGGTTAGAATTCCACCAGTGCTGTATCATTGAGCCACCGAACTGTACTGGAAACACAGATCGTTGCTGGAATTTCACCACTGTAAGAACAAGACATGTAGATACAAGCATGCATCATACCATCCAAGCAAAACCTTTATTAATCAATGCCTTCATACCACCCTCTCCCTTTCAAATCTAAGATCTTTTTTCAGGGAATCTAGTCAGTGTGACTTCATAGAAAGTATTAGGTTGTAGGATTAATGGAGCAGAGATAAAGCAAAAACCCTGGATATAGTAGCAGAAGATAAATAGACCTATATTTCTTAGCTTTGCTATGAGAAACAAGAGCAGCATCTGAGCACAGGATGTGTAAGGAGACATTCATATACTTCACTGAGTTTAAGGTAATACCATTTTTTAAAAGACAAGTCAAATGAGTAAATTGTATAGTATATTAATTATATCTTGATAAAAATTATATCTTTTTAAAAAAGAAAAGAAGAAAAATGGCAATAATTGAAGATGATCTAAACATCTAGTCCTTACGTCAGTATAGTCATAGTACTGCTGGGCCAGCTCCTTCACTTATAAGGCGTAAGAGTAAATTTACTTCAAAATTCTTTCTAGCTCTGAGTCTATGGTACTATCAAAGTCAGATGCATAATTAGGGTTTAACATTTCTTACAGAGTCAAAATATCTAAGGAATAGAAACCAGTCTCTCTTACTTCCATCTGTAATTTTACTGGAGGCAAGTCGAACAACTTCAGTGATTAAAGCTGTCTTTCCCAATCCAGTTTTGGAAAATCCCACAGGAAAGTGATATTCGACAAAGAAAGTGCTAAAAAAAAAGGATTAAAAAATAAATCAAATAATAAAACTACTTTCTGCCTATAAATCCTACATCTCTTTGGCAGTCCCATTCTCAGGCTCTCTGGTCCTACGAGGCCATACCTCCTTCAAAGTTTTTATCAGTCTGCTCAGAAGGAATGAAAGGCTTGTTTCTGTGCTCCCACAGAACTTTTAATATAAAACATCTACTTTGTCCCCTAAAGCCCTATGTTATAGACAGCTATTTAAATATTTTTCTCTCTTGCTAACTGTAAAATCTGTAAGCATAGTTCCCATCTTAATTTTCCCATATTCCCATGCTCTTCAGATCAGGGGGGATTCAATATATTTGCATTGTCGGGGATTTAGCTCAGTGGATCCGCTGCCTGGCCTGCAAGCACAAGGACCTGAGTTTGATTCCTGGCCAAAAAAAAAAAAAAAAATATATATATATATATATATAATACACATATACACACACACACACATATACACTTGTACTGACTGAATGATATGCATATGAAAATGAATTACAAATTATAAAGTGTTATACAGTTATTATTATCATAAGATATACTTTCCCAAAAGGTCAAATTTAGCTTTTTCATTTTAGAGACATACCGCTTTTTTACTGTTGTCAGCTTAGGTGGTTTCCCAGCAGAGATTTTTTTGCCTGGGGTCATCTCGGGACTATCTATAGGAACTCCCATTGTTTCAATGATGATTCTGACTGAATGTGTCCTACCCAGAAGGGCCAGCCTATCCACACTGAGTGTCATTATTTGGGCATCTTCTGGAGCTTCTGAAAGCAGCTGCTGTTCAGCCAGATTTCTGTAAGGAGTTCACATAGACAGGCAGGCAGGCAATTAGAAGCTTAACATGAAGCAATCCAGTTTGCACAGGTGAGAGAAAGAAAGAGGTAGGGCAGCAAGTATCTCAATTCATAAGTTAAGTGGAAATGGCTTTAATTATCAGAATTCTGATCTAATTTACAATAAAGGAAATCTCAAAAAATAAAAGCTTATTATTTTCACATAAGTGTAGAAACCTGATGTTATGACATTAAGCTTTTCTAGAAAGGACAAAAAATTTATTCCCATACCCATTAACCTAATACAACTATTACTGTCACTTTTATGTATTCCTTTTCATTTTTCTTTTTTTTTTGGTACCAGGGATTGAACTTGGGACTTTGTGCTTTCGAGGCAGGCGCCAGAACCACTGAGCTAAATCCCCGGCCCTCTTTTCATTTTTCTTTATGCATATTTTCTAAATAGGTATGATCATAGTGGATATATAATCTAATATTAACCATTTTAACTTTATGCAGCTTTTCATGTTATTCCATTTTAAGGATTTCAATGCTTACTGCATTATTATAATTTTTTTTGTTTTGTTTTTTTGAATTTGCTATGTAGTTCAGGCTGGCCTTGAACTCACTGAGATCCTCATGCCAAGTGCTGGGATTGCAGGTGTGGGCCACCAAACCAGCTGAGTTATTATAATTTAACCACTCTGATAGTGTTGGGAAAACATAGGTATGAAATTTCACTTGAGGAAATTTTATGAAAATCAGCTTCCTTTGCTTTTGCTAGTAATCAAGCATTCATAGAGAGGCTCACTTGTTTTTTCTGCTTGCTGCCCTCTTCATCAGCTTATGATTGTTTGGCTCCAGAACCTTAGAAGATCTTCCAAGAGCTTTTGATTGGTTCATTTTTTTAGCAGGGACAACATCTTCATCTTCACTGAGAAAATCACTGATGCTGTTATCAGATTTCTATGAGGGGGGAAGAAAAACAGACACTAAAAGATAACTGTTTTGGGGATAGCAGTAAGGAAATATTTCTCTAAAAGTAAGCAAGTTCTCCTTGTACACACACCATTCTCTTAAAAAGGTAACAAAAAATCTAGAATGTTTGAGGAGTGGATGAGACTCTAGCATGGGTGAAGTTTCCAGTAAGTAAAGGATAAAATTGGGAGATGAGGTTAGGAAAGTAAGTCAGAGTTAGGTTCTAATGCTGTGGTTAAGGCTTATGAGACAGTGTGGACCAGAAGAAAGAATTCAGGCTTTATGCCAGATACAGTAGGGTAAGAATTCCAGTTCTGCTTGTTAGTAACTATAAGCTTATGTATCATGATGTGTAAAGAGAGATAATAGAGATAATAAGTATCTCATGGGGATAGTAAAGAATTAATTGAAATAATGAATTAAAAACATTGGTACAGTTCTCTGGAACAGAGAAAATGGATAACGAAGAAACTTTTTCTACGTTATCCTATAGTCTCCATGATGACTGTTAAGGTAGGAAGTCACAAATACTAGCAATCCAAAGTCTTTCCAATCTACTTCTTCCTTCTCATTTCCATTGCTGCCATTCACTGGCTCTCTCTTATACTTCTATAACCCAACAGCTCTGCTTCTGGCAATTGTCCTCTCATTTTGCTTTCTACATGGCTGCTAGATTTTGATTCTTAAATCAATCTCTCTCTCTCTCCAGTGCTGGGAAATAAACCCAGGGCCTTACACATGATAGGCAAGTATACTACCACTGAGCTACATTCCCTAGTCCTTCCACACAAATTCTCATCTAGCTAGACTATCCCTTCCAATGTACAAATATGCTTTTTCTATACTGTACACATCATTCTTTCTACTTTCATGTCTCTGTCATTCAAAACATTATCTTTCAAGTCTCAGTTAAAATGGTTTATGCCTATGTTCTTTTTTTTTTTTTTTTTTGGTACCGGGGATTGAACTCAGGACCTTTCGCTTGC